AGCGGTAGAACATTGAAGGTATTGGAGATTAATGGTGATATAACTGAGATAGTTATACAACTGCAGCAATTAAAACCAATGAAAACCTCAGACTGGCTGATTAAATTCCTGGAATCGTGTCTTTAGCTTTCCTATATTGATAAAGTTAGAGTTATTGTTATATTACCTCCAAGACATTAAGGGGAAAATCTTAACGCATTATTCCTGGTTACATGTTTTTTCGAAGTTTGAAAAATTCCATTCAATTTTGTTGTCTTCATCAACAAAATAGATGTAATAAAAATAAAAAAAAAGAAGTGGATTATATTTTTGTACATTAATGCAATTTGATATGGTTTCTTATTTAGACAATGAACATATTTATTCAGTAAATACTCTATTTAGAGCAATGGCGGCGGTTGATGTTAACAGATGGTGGGGAGCTGTCCCCACCCCCTCTGACTTGATTGACTTTGAGCCAATGAGACATCACGCCCTTTTAAAAATCATAAATAATCCATAAATAAACTGTCAACAGCATCTCCAGCAATCAATAAAAATATGGGAATGGAGACTGCAGTTCTATTAACACACACTTATCATTACTCCTTACAACAAAAATTTATGGAAATTTTTTTTTTTAACAAACACTAGGGGATGGTGGCTGCCTCTATGGACCAGGCTCAACTGATCTACAGTATCTCAAAGCTTTAGATTTTATTAATTAAAAGGAGAATTCTTGGTTCAGAATGTGATCAAGAGTAGTTTATTCAGCCATAAGACTGGCCTTTTAATATATCCCCTTAAAAATCTCTCTTTTAGTCCTTTGAAGTCTGTGATAATAATAATAATAATAATATTATAGAGTTGTCTGATTTATTAATTTATTAATAAAATATTTTACCAGGATGGATACATTGAGATTTCTCTCGTTTTCAAGTATATCCTGGGTCCACAAAACATTGCATTGTTACAATAGGATACAATATTACAAAAATACAATATCCAAACAATATATATATATATATATATATATATATATACACACATATATAAATTTAATACATAACAGGTAATAAATATATTCAATCATGACAGGTGCATTCTGTGCTGAGGTATATTGCCATAGATCTCTTAAAAGATTTTAGATTGTATGAAGATTTGACTGTGTCCCTGAGTTTATTCCATAATTGCGGTGCTCTGTAGGAAAATGAGGATTGAACCACCATATTTTTGTATTGCGGTATGCCAAATATCGTGCTAGTACTGGATCGGAGGTTATAGGAAGTGGGAACAGCTGGGGAGAACATTCTACTCAGGTAGGGTGGGAGCTTCCCAGAAATGCTCTCATGCACAAGGCTGGAAAGATGAAGAGTGCGTCGGGATTCCAGCGACAGCCAGTTTAGCTCTTTTAACATGTCACAATGGTGGGTAAAATAATTAAATTCTAGTACAAAGCAACAGAACAAATTATACAACGTATATTTCAATAAATACTTTAAACAATCAAACGTTAAATGGAATTCAGATATTTATAGACATATAAAATGTATCGATAAGGTTCAATGAAAAGCAGATAAGAAATAAAAAGAAAATTAAATTCAACATTCAGAAGGACATCAAAAACTCAGAAACTGTATACGCAATTTTGACTTCTCCCTGAACACGTGTGAAAGTCTAGTGTGGAAACTTTTCTCTTCTTATTGGAACTACCAGCCTAAAAGTATGTTAGGCTTCTTTGAATATGGGATAAACTAGCTATAAGGAAGGCTGCAGTGTTAGCTAGCTTATCTGGGTGGGTAGGATATTGATGTAGACATCATGTAGAGCAGGGTAACAGGTGTTTGCAATATGGTGAATAGCACACTTCCCAACATTGGAATCTATGGAATTAGAGATCAGGGGGACTTCAAGGGGGCATTTGCAGTGACGGGTGTGTAAGTCTCCTGACCCTCAACATTCAGGACCATGCAGAGAGCACTTCTGAAGCTTTCTCTGCATGGTTCTAGTTTCCACTGAACAGTGAGAGCATGGCTAATAATGCACTCGCGTTGTGCTGCCTGTGGACAGCTCCTTGGTGTCCCCACCAGGGCACTCTATTAGGATGAGGAAAAAGACCCTAAAATCAACTTTGTGTATATAATTCTTTAGAAGGTCCACAGTTCATCTATTATCTTGCTTTTTCAAGGAGAAACCATGCCTTTTCAACAAAAACAATCAAATGTTCTTTCTAGAACAAATGACATCTTGTTTCTAATTTTATAGAATCAAATAAAATAGAACTGACAGTTTAATCCAATGGTTTTTTTTCGGTGACATAAAAAAGTTGAAATATTTTTTTTCTAAATACACAAAATTAAATAAGTTGGAGCGTTACCACTTTATTTAAAATCACGCAGGCTTTAGCGGTTTCTGAGATGATTAGAAAATTGTCGATCCTTGATCTTTAAGATGGTCTCTAACAAATCTGACATTTAAGAAACTCCATTTTTCTTTTTAAGACAAATGTGCGAGACAGAAGTATTTTTTTTTTCTTTTCCTCGCTCTGATTAGCACTTGAAGTAAGTGGTAATCCACTGATTGTGGAAGTGCTTGACAGGCAAACAAATTCTTCAATCCACAATGCAGACTGATTAGTACAGCAACACCAATATTCTAAACTTCATTACGCATAAACGACTAAACCCGAGGTCAACAAGTCTTATTGCTGCCGATTGAATTGAACTTAAAGGTTGAACAGCAGATGTACTAATTAAGACTTAAGGTCATTAAAAAAAAAAACCCAGCACTAAGACAGGTCTTTATTGTGAAATATAGCCATGAAAGAGCTGCAATTTCTTTGTGACATTAGAGCAATTTTGACCTTATTGTTTGGCTGTGAATTTAAAACAGCAAAAATTGCCGAGTGGCTGTAACATTGTGTACAACATGCATACCAAGAGAAGACAAAATCAACAAAATCTGCTTTAGCTGAATCTGTGAATAGTCCCTTTGTCAGCAAGGCATTTTTTATGACCCACTTATTCATAGATGCTTGCTACTCCTCCTAGAGACCTGGTATTCCAACCGGCTAGCACTACTCCACAAAGCAGTGACATATTTGTAAGTGGACCATCAATGCTTGGACCTATTTATTTGGAGGCATTTTATCATTAGGGATTCTTGATTCTTCCAGCTTCACATTCTTAACAGACCAGGAAAGTAGTGCCATTAGACTTCTAAACATTTTGGAGCACCTTACAAAACAAATTGTGCCCCCCGATGTAAACTCTCATATATGATTACTATTATTTTATTATTTATAAAGCACCAGCAAATTCCGTAGCACTGTACAATGGGTGGACTAACAGACATATAACTGTAACCAGACAAGTTAGGTGCAGAGGAACAGAGGGGTTGAAGTCCCTGCTCGATGAGCTTACATGCTAGAGGGAGTGGGATATAGTGACACAAAGGGTAAAAGTAGGGGTCTCAAAGTAGGTTGCTAGAAAATTATTCACTGAGGACTTAGTAGGTTATTTTTGACAGTTGCAGGAGAGGAGTCAGGGTGTGAGGTTGAAAAGCTGTTAACAGTTTAATTAATATGGTTTCCTGAAGAAGTGAGTTTTCAATGATTTTTTGAAGGAATGGAGACTGGGTGAA